TTTTTCAGACCTTTCAATGTTTTCTGTTCTTGAGTGTTCATTTGAGCTTGATGTCTCTTCTGTCTGGTAACTGGTATGATTGTTTGCCGTATTTCTTGTTGAGTGACCTCATTTAATCTTGATGTTTTAGGTGACGATTGTAATGCTGCAAAGAATTTTGGTTTGGAGGCATCTCTTATGTTGTAATTCAATCCTTTTTGAAGTAGAAGTTCTTCCATTTTTGTTAGTGGTTATTTTGATAAGTTGGCAACACAGTTGTTTGTTTCTTCTGTTGTGGGTGCTTGTGAGATTTTGAGTAACTTTTTGGTGAGGACTTTTCTTCTTCGTTGTTGTTTGTGTCATGTGGTTGATTTTTCAATTGTAGTTGTCAATGTTGTCATGTGTTTGGTTGTAAGTATGCTTTGTAGTTTTCTCTTTTGATTGTTAATCACTGATTGGTATTTCCTGATCCGATGATGTGCATATGTGACTATCAATTGTACCATTTGTATACCACTTTATTCAGACATGTGTTCACTGTAAGTATTTTGGTCAGTAATTTAATATCTTCATCCTGCTAACCAGCCATTTCATTAGACCTCACTTGTACTAGGTCGGATAAAAACTGTAAATATTTAAATATTTTCCTGTGCGTGTAGGCTTTCTGTAGACTGACCTATTGTTTAAATCCTTCTATTTGTTCTCCCATTTATCCGTTTTATATAGGCTGACTCTACAATTAGATATGTAGTCAAATAGTTCGAAATGCATTATGCGAATCCTTCATCCCTTACACTTTTCATGGATTACATCTTTATTCATAAGGAATTCCTAATTCTCTTAGAGTTCCTAAGATTGTTTATTGTATGTATATGCTTATTAATGAATTCAGCTGAATGGAGAAGAAAATCAGGCTGGACATCGCAAGAGTGAGCCACATAGATGTTATTAGTGTGTCAAAAAATGGCACGCATCCGCATGAGAAGGAAAAAATTCTTAAAGCCTTTTACAACCAATTGTTTTACTTCGACGTTTCGAGTAAAAGCATGTGAACCGACATGTAAACATCAGATTGGTTGAAGAGGTAACAACCAATGGGACATATCTTCCTAGAATGACCTAGAAGTAGTCAAGATCATTGAAAATATTCGTTAACCATAGTATTTGACACATATTTTGACCTTACAATGCATCTTCTGTTGTTTTACCGCCTTTCATATTTGTCTAGGAACTGAATGATCATCAATAGGCATAGATGGAAGTCAACAGGCCAAAAAGGTGTGAACTGATGTAAGATACTTTATTTACAAAGGACATTTTATCAGTTGTTTGATGGCTATTCAGCGATGAATTGGTAAGTGATGTTATAGTTCAAGCAATGCAATGAAATATTATTTCAATATTTATTTACAAATTTAGTATGCACTTACAAGACGGTTCTATAGTTTGAACTATCCTTTCAGTTGAACCACTTGTTGATGTCACTGGAAATGGGTTGAAAATAGTTCCACATTTCATAACCACACCAACAAATGCTCATGTATGTTGACAGTCAACAAAAAAGAATCGTAGAATTAGATTTCATGGATATTGCTAGTCATCAGACTACCGTATTCGCAATCAGATGGAAACCGTTATCCCATAAGTGAATCGAATATTCGTCTTCTTTAGCAACAATACTTTATCACCTCACTATTATCAACAAAAAAATCAGACTGTACAGTTACAACTGGAATATAATCCAAATTTCGCAAACGAATAAGTATTAAAATCAATATGGATAGGTATCCTACCTTTTCATTGGACAACAAAAGGGATAGACAGCAGGTCGTCAACAAAGGGTGAAAAAATCAGCTACTTATGAGTAGTGTAATGGCTATCATCGAATAAACATGTTAGCTTATTAGTAAGACGAAGGGCTAGGCTTCTTTAAATGATTATTAACGCTTTTGGGTTTGCGTTAGCAAAAACTTACTAGAAAGGTCAACTAGTACACAAGACTAATAAGGGTACAAATGCCATTATCCAGGAGTTATAGAAATGTTTCGTTTGTGAAGCCTTAGTCCTTCGGTCGTAAAGGTAAAGATCTCATGAAACCAACCGCTAGCTGCCTAATGTTCAGTGAATACTGGTTCTTACTACAGGTATAAATATGCATTTGTTAATTATCACTGTCAAAATGTAGTGCATAATACTGTTTCATTACGTGATGCATTTAGTAAATCAACAGAAATGGTGTTAACATGCAGTTATAAAATCTAATAATACTTTGTATAACTCAAGTAGTTCGGTGATAACGTCTACGACTAAGTGAGGGATGGGATGAATATGAGTACCAATGCAGGGAAAGTTTATTTAAACTTCTAAGTCAAGAATTTCCCATGATTACGTACAGATATCCAGGATTAAAATAATTCAATAATGAATCTTATTGTTCATTGTTTCCCAAATTCATTCTCTTCAGAGAATAGCACAGATGGTTTTAATGGATTATAACCCTCAAAAAAAATAGGGAAGCAATCAAGATTTTTTTCAGCCAACTAGATCTCAGTGCAGGATTCCTAGAATAGTTAGGTTGACCAAGATACCAGACACCTGTTGGAAAACGAATCCAATTTGAGGTTTTTGGGACCTACTGCCGCTTCATATACATGAAACTCATCATCATCTCTAGCAGAAACTTACTTCAGGGGTGTTTAGTAGTTCCAGCACAAGAAATTAGTTATTTGGTCACTTGACTCAAACTGTCATTAGCACAAACTAAAATTTTCAGATTACTCATTTAACTCAAGAAGCGATCCACTACTTTGCAATGAAAGTGGATCGCATTTATGCTTCGTTTTGAGTTCAGTTAAGGTGCATAATGTCGAACATCAAGCTACAGATTAGTCAAACATTAGCAAAGTACTTTTCCTTATATTTACTGGCATTTAATCGCCTGAAAATTTGCAGGCATTCTAGCGACTGAAAATTCCGCACGATATTGTTGATACTAGAAATGACGTCATAACTGTCGACAGAAAACCCTTTCTTTTCATTTTCTTGTTTATAGTGAACAATAGAAAGTCATGAAGGCCAATCACAGACGCTTATCAGCTATATTTGAATGTCTACAGTAATTAACAATATGATCTAGTGAGTATCCTCAGTGTAATAGCTACAAGGAAATTACTCTGAGTCTAACCTAGGCGAATTCTAAGAAGTGACAGAAAATAGTACTAATGTTATCATTTGGAATCATCAGACAAAAGCTTGTTGGTAAAATATTATTAGGATGGGAGATATTAATTATTGTAAGGGAAGTGAAGTACTGTGTAGATATGGTTTTTTTGCTTCTCAAGGGATTTGATAAGGTGGTAACATTGATTCAGGCTAGCTGGTCACTCGATCACTTGATAGGTGTCGTGCTGAATAATTCATTAGAAGCTTAATGGAAAAGTCACCATTCATTTGTGTAATACCTGATGGAACCGAAATCTTCTCTACAATTCTGCACTGTCTGGTTAAGAATGACACCATGAATAAAAAATATCCAGCCAAGAGTGAAAGTGAGAAGTTTATAACTATTTAGAATTCAACACAAATTAGAAGAAATGATGGAAAAAATTTGTCGCTCAAGATGATGATGATGGTGGTTCAGTGTCCTCTGAACTCTGATTGTTATTGTGTAGGTGCTGAGTGATCTAAATAGGTGACGGCTATTTCACTCATTTGGAACTGAGCCCGTTAGCGTAATATACCCGAACAAACTCACTTCATACAGTCAGACTGTGTATAACAAAATATCAAAGCTCAGAGAACACCACCATCAGTTAATGGAAAACAGAGTGCAACAATTTGTCAGGATAACTGAAAGGAAAAGGAGTCAAAGACCTGTTTGCATTCAACTGAAGCAGGTGGAAGTTAAATTAATATGAGATCAGTTGTAACCCACATCTATTATGCTATATGCCTCTAATTTTGCATAGCTTTTTGTCTGCTGTTTTGTCCATGACCGTAAAATAGCCTAAATGGCTGTTTTCACACCGCTACTAGTTTTTCTTCCCTCTGCTCCCATTGATTGTATATATTCAGCATCGCTGTCAACTGTAGTGACTGTTGTTGAGGCAGTAAAAAGCTCTCTGTCAACGGGCTGTCTTCTCTTGTTATCTTCGCTCGTCGGTGGTATTGTTGTGGTGATGGTTGACGTCTGATTTGCTTTAGAGTCGATTCGTTTGTGCACTAGGTTCGTATTGTTCGTAGTCTGCTGGGTTGATATCGCTCGTAGACTGTTAGGTTGCACTACCGGTCATAGCATATTCCTGTTACATGATTTGAACGATTTTTCTCACGAAAGATTTCTGCTGCACTCTTATAACACTTCGAAGGGGTTCACTGTAATAAAAACGCAATTCACTAACCGACTGTACATGATTTGTATCGAATACATCTATACTAGTAAGCAATACATAGTGATATCTTACTGATTATTAACCTACAAAAGCATAATCAGTTTTGAAGTTTCAAAAGTAGATTACTGCTTCCAGATACATTTCCTGAACTTTGATGAGAAACTGTGATCTGTGGCGCCTAACAAGTTGGGTGTTAGGATAAGTACCTGTCTATGGCTTTGGATGATGGTCACACTGTCTTATGAATTGGTGGAAGTTGTAAAGTGTGAACCAGTTGTAATCCCACCCAAGAGCTGGGTGATAATACGCTCTCCACAAAACATGAAGGTCCTAGTTCCAACTGTTGATAAAGTCGTGGGTGTACACTGCTGAGGAGTCCCATACTAGGACGAAACAGTTGTTCTCCTACGTTCTCAGTGATACTCAAAATGATGATTAACATGAACTTGAAATGAAGATATTCACTAACAGTTTGAGTTCCAATCCAAACCGAGTGTAATAATCATGTTCGAAAGATAGATTTCAGCTAATTGGTTGGAAAATTTGACAACTAAGTAAATTTAGTGCAACCAATATCTTGATCTTAATGGTTAAAAATGTTGATTTATTTAGTTTTTTGAAAACTTCAGTTATCACCTTGTTTCATCAACAACATGCAAGTTAGAGTGAAATAATGAAGACTGAATTACTATACAGTATATAAGATATTGTGGTCAAAGATCATTGGTGATTGTGAAGAAGTCAAGTGTGAAAATGTTGATACCGAAGAATCTTGATCCATCATAATTCTTTTCATCTTCAAAGATACGTTGATTTTTATCAGTTTTTCATAAATAAATCCAAAGGTCAATTGTTTCCAATAAAATCCTTGATCCTGTTAACCACGATAACAATAGTTACTATTATTATCAAAGAGTGATTTATAAACTTGTATATAACTGTAATTTTAGCTGAAGCAGATTTGTCTCTGAAAAAAAACAATTAATAATGAGAGCTACTCCAATACTACTTATAACGTTGGGGATAGTAGTCAACCGTATCGATTCTCATAAATCAACGGAATATAATGAGTTATGGAGTGTATGGAAATCTCAGTATGATAAACAGTATGAGAATGAGAAAGAGGAAGAAATTAGAAGAAGCAAATGGATTGAAAATATTGAAAAAATTCACTCACATAATTTACGTTATGATTTAGGCCTTGAAACATTCACTCTTGGGATAAATCAATTTACTGATATTGACTGGAAGGAATTTCATTCACAGTATGCCATGAATAAACAGTTAGAAATTCCTGAATCATCATATATTGAAGAAGATTATGATGTGAACAATGTTGGCTGGACACCAGAATCATACGATTGGCGCCATCTCAACATTGTCAATGAACCAAGAGATCAAGTAAGTGGTTGGACCGTATTAAAACAGAATATTTTCTTATGTTGAATGCTTGATAGTAATCAATGGGAATTCGAAGATCACCATACTGGTTCCAACACCTTTGATTGTACAGTCTTCCACAAAATCTTGAGGTGAAAAGGGATTTTATCTTATTTACGGTGAAAGGGATATGGCTAGTTGGTCTGACTGCTTGAGCTCAATGCAATGCATCTAGGGTTCACATTCCGATCCATATTTGTCAGTGTCAGAAGCTGTGTAGTACAGTAGGCTCTCAGAGATGTGCCTCATGGCCCAGTATTCAATACTGTACTCAGTAGGTTGATAACACTGGTATTATTCATGAGTTACTGTTGCTACCCAGTATATTCAAGAAGGATGTAAGGTGATTAGAAACTATACTTACATATCACTATGCTATATATGAAGAAAACTTTTGTTATGCAGAGCTACTGAAGGTTAATCGCTGTATACAGATGGAGATTTGTACAGCAAAGAGAACTTTTGTGTTTTGTTGACAAAGAAGTTCTATTTACGATTGTTTTCAAGGTGATACTTGCTAAGTTAATAAATTATCTTAGACCTACCTACCTCCACAAGATTACAAAATATGGGAATATAATAGGAGCTATAAGGCCTTTGACAGCGTCAACCGAGAAGTAATTTGGAAACTGCTTCAATACTACGGAGTACCGCAAACCTTTATCCACCTCATTCAACAACTATATGAAGATGCCACATGCCAAGTAATCCACAATGGGAAGCTCAGTGATGCCTTTGAAGTGAAGACAGGAGTGAAACAAGGTTGCCTACTATCCCCATGATATTCCTTATTGTGGTGGACTGGATCATGCAGCAAACAGTAGGCAGCGAGAAGAGGGGGATACACTGGACGACGGAAAAGAACCTAGAAGACTTGGATTTCGCCGATGACTTATGCCTACTGTCACATAAACTTGAAGATCTGCAGACAAAAACTAACAAGTTGATAGAAGAGGCAGCGAAGACGGGACTTCAGGTGAATATAGAGAAGACAGAGGTGATGAAGATACCGCACCACCACCATCAACAACAACAACAACAAACTCCAATCACTGTCAACGGGAGAAACTTAAAGGAAGTAACCTCCCTCACTTATCTAGGAAGCACTGTTTCAACTACAGGTGGCGGCAAAGACGAGGACGTCAAAGTCAGAATCGGAAAAGCAAGACAGGCGTTCATTAGCCTGAAACCAGTGTGGAGATCTTCTGCACTCAGCATGCGGAACAAGATACGGATTTTCAACACCAACGTCAAGTCAGTGCTCTTGTATGGCTCAGAGACTTGGCGCATCACGAAAGGAATTTCCAATAAACTACAGACATTCATCAACAACTGCTTACGCTCGCTGCTGAAGATCAGATGGCCAGAAAGAATAAGCAACAAGGAACTCTGGGAACGAACCAACCAAGAACCTATCACGCAACAAATATGCAGGAGGAAGTGGAGATGGATTGGCCATGCACTGAGAAGGCCGATTGGGGACATCACGCGTCAGGCCCTCGAGTGGAATCCCCATGGGAAGCGACGAGTTGGACGTCCGAGGGTGACATGGAGGAGGTCGTGCGAGGAGGAAATGAGAGCTTGTGGGCTGTCGTGGGACCAGGTTCAAAAGATCTCAGAGAACAGAGGTCACTGGAGGCGTGCTACTGAAGCCCTATGTTCCACTAGGAACCCAAGGGACTAATAATAATAATAATAATAATAATAATAATAATAATAATAATAATAATATAGGAGCTATATAATTCGCTACTGCATAGTTTTCCTAATTCTAAAACTGCAAACTAAATAGCTGTTGTAGGCTTAGACAACTCTTGCTTTTAACTGCTGAATAGTTTTCGTTGTGGAGCTATATGAGTTGACTAAATATAAAAGCTTATATTAAGCCCTCACTCCATTACCAAAGGTATCTGGCAATCTGAAATGTCAAGTTTACTAGCAGTTAAAGTATCGACAACAGATCCTGATTACTTATTCAATTAACAAGTTTATCTGTCGACTGGATTTCTGGAGAGTCACTTCGATTGTACTTGGATGAACATACAACTTATCTCTAGTTATCTTCTGAGAAGACAAGTATGCTTGAGAGGAATGCGTCATTTTACTGGATCATGTTTTTAAACTATTCGAGAATTTGGATCCGACCAAAATATACCCATATAACCTTTCAGCTATATTACCTCAGATAGTAGACAATTTTAACAACTAAATAGGGCTGATGGAAGGGAAACGAAACGGTGTCATGTCATTCATGACTTAAATAGCTTAGAGGTAAAATCTCTGACTTTTCCACCGATCACCTTTAGATCAGCAAGAGAGCACCAGTTCCCTCATAGCCGTGGACATGCCTAACTGATGAGGGCCTACAAAGAAGCAATCTAGGCATGAGGCTTTCTGCCGATAAACGTCTAACACTAATAAAGCTTATCTGCAACATCATGTTAGTTCATTATGCAATCTGTAATTTCAAGTGTTACCTGTCGGTTAGTACTTCCGGACCTGACAAAGGGTGACTAATCGCTTTGAGGAAGGTGAAATATCTTACTGGTTCGTATCGAAATACACGAAAGTGTCATCAACAGACTCTTATTTACTACTTTCGGTCAGTGATATGATGTCCAAACTTATAGGAGTGGGGTGTTAGATCAACTTAGCTCTCAACTTGTTTTCCCAAAATATATTTATCCTAACTGAATAGTTACTGTTATTCTACTTCTTTAACTCTCCGTCTAGGGTTCTTGTCATGGTTCATATGCATTTGCTGTGACTGCATCAACTGAATCTCAATATGCTCTGAGAACATCGAATCGAGTTAATTTATCTGTTCAACAGTTTCTTGATTGTACACGAGAATATGGTAATATGGGTTGTTATGGAGGTTACACGTTTACATTATTCATTTATTTACAAAATTTGGATTAGAAACAGAAAGCAGTTATCCATTTAATGGTCAGGTAAGATGAAATTAAAAGTTTACTTAAAACGATGAAAAAGATTTGTAGCTCAGGATAAGGATCATGGTGGTCTGGCTTTCTCTGACCTTTGATATTTTATCACAAACGTTTCATCACAACACTTAGTGACATCTTCATCATTAACTTCATTAAGAATTGAACCATATCCAAATATTACACAAATGTTTAGATTGCGTTTTATTGGCCTTGGATGTTGTCCAATTGTAAGTTGGGGAAGAACTTTTTATCACGCCCTGACCTCTTTGATCATAAATTTCCTTCAATGGTGTCATTTATTATTATTAGTCCCTTGGGTTTTTAATGGAACATAGGGCTTCAGCAGCACGTCTCCAATGCGTCCTAATCTCTGAAATCTTTTGAACCTGACTCCACAACAGCCCACAAACTTTCATTTCCTCCTCGCATAATCTCCTCCATGCCACCCTCACCTCAGACGCCCAACTCGTCGCTTCTCAAGAGGGTTCCAGTCGAGGGCCTGGACTGGCGCATGATGTCACCAAACGGTCTTCTCAGTGTATGCAAATCCCATCCATCTCCACTCCCTTCCAGTGCAAATTTGTTGGGTGATAGGTTCTTGGTTGGTTCGTTACCAGAGCTCCTTGTTGCTTATTCTTTCTGACAATTCATCTGATCTGCAGTAGCGAGCCAACGTAGGCAGTTGTTGATGAATGTCTGTAGTTTATTGGAAATCCCTTTCGTAACTCACCAAGTCTCTGAACCATACAGAAGCACTGACGTGAAGTTAGTGTTGAAAATCCGGATGCTGTTCACGCTTTATGCTGAGTGCAGTACAGTAGATCTCCACACTGGTTCCAGGCTAATGAACGCCTGTCTTGCTGTCTTTCTGATGCTGGCTCCTTTGACGTCCTCGTCTTTGCCGCCACCTGTAGTTGAAACAGTGCTGCCTAGATAGGTGAAGGAGGTTACTTCCTTTAAGTTTCTCCCATTGATAGTGATTCGAGTTTGTTGTTGTTGTTGGTGCGGTAACTTCACCACCTCTGTATTCTCTATATTCACTTGAAGTCCCGTCTTAGCTGCCTCTTCTGCCAACTTGTTAGTTTTCGCCTGTAGATCTTCAAGTTTGTGTGACAAGACATCAGGCACAAGTCATCGTTGGCGAAATCCGAATCTTCCAGGTTCTTTTCCCTGGTCCAGCCATTGTATCCCCCCCCCTCTCCTCGCTCCCACTGTTTGCTGCATGATCCAGTCCACCACAACACAATCAGGAATATCATAGGTGATAGTAGACAGACTTGTCTTACTCCTGTCTTCACTTTCACTTCAAAAGCATCACTGAGCTTCCCATTGTGAATTACTTGGCTGGCATGTGGCATCTTCATATAGTTGTTCAATGAGGCTGATAAAGGTTTGCTGTATTCCGTAGTATTAGAACAGTTTCCAAATTACCTCTCAGTCGACGCTGTCAAAGGCCTTCTCAAAGTCGATAAAGTTGAGTTGAGGTAGAGATCCAGTTGACTGCCATTGTATACTCTGTTCTATGATGATGTGCAGCGTAGCGTTGCAATTTGGTCCTCACATGATTTGTATTTCCTAAATCCAGCCAGCCTGTTCTTGTCGTAGTTTTGAATCCAGTGCATCCTTTAGTCTCTCCAGGATGATGCGGCCTTATATTTTGCTTGCTTTGGGTGGACAGGAGAATGATTCCTTGCCAGTTCTTGCAAACACTTAGGTCTCCATTATTTATGAGTTTTACAAGATCACCCTTCTTCCAGTCAGTGGCCAGCTACCTTCTCTTCCTTCCACACCTTCTTCAATATTGGTGTGAGCATGTCCGATGTTGTCTCTGAGTCTGTTCTCAGTGCTTCTGGTGGGATTCTACCTGGTCCTGCTGCTTTCTCACACTTCAGTAGCTTTATGGCGTTCAGGACTTCCACTTTTTTGGAGGATTTGTGTTCACTTGTAGTTCAGCCGCTGCAGGTGGTATTTCTGGACGAAGTGCAGGTGGTGGTCGATTCAAGAGCTTCTTGAAGTGGTCGGCCCATTGTTTCCTTTGTTTCTCTTCTTTCGTAATTAACTTTCCTTCATCATCTTTTATTGGCTTCGTCTGCGTTGATCTCTTCCCAGATAGCAACCTGGTTATTTGATATAATATCGTCAGGTCTCTCTTACCTGCAGCCTGTTCTGCTTCACTTGCCAGTGTTTCGTAGAAGTGTCTTTTGTCTTACCATGCACTGTTCTTCACTTCTTTGTCCAGTGTTTTATACGTCGTACTCAGTTCCTCTTCTCATCGTTTATCCTTGCACTGCACTGGCTTATCTTCTGTTTCACCATCCTCCTCTCCTCTATCAGCTTCCATGTATCCATGGAGATCCATTCCTTATCTTCTTTCTTCTTCCTTCCTAACACTGTTGTGCAGGTTCCCTTCTACATCCTCTTCAAAACGTCCCAGTGTTCTTAAACACAGGTTTCCTCGGTGATGGGGATGTTGCTCAATGTCTCCTATTTCGTCCTGATGATTGGCTGGATGATGTGAAGATGTCCTTCATAGTTTCGTCCTTCAGTTCGGTTTCTGTTGTGGGAGTTCAACTTGAACTGTGGTCGTCTATCACCAACTTCTTTGAATTGAGGGCCTTCAACTTGATTTTGAAGGTAGGTTCCTCACACTGGATAGTGGTCTGAGCCTACATCTGCTCCTCTTCTGGATACTGTGTCAAGTTGGCTGCGTCTCCACTTTCTTCACATTGAGATGAAGTCGATCTGATTTCTAGTGTGTCCTGGTGTCTGGTGAAATCAAATCCATGTTGTTCGCTTTGTGAACATCACTGTGTTTGTACACACTGCCTCGCCTCCAATCACCAAATCGTTGAATGCACAGAATTCTGCAAACAATTCTCCATTATCATTCACCACTTCACTAGGTGCTTCTCGACCCATGGTTGGATCGCTTCCTGTGTTGTTCCCTCCCAGTTTGGCAGTCATGTCGCCCACTAGAATTTTGATATCGCCAACTGAGGTCTTGTCCAGTTCTGATTGAAGTTGTCTGTAGAATTACTCCTTCTTCTCTTCCCTTCATCTGCACTATTTGTAGGTGCAAATCGTAGCATTGTATGCTTGTGACTTCCATTCCTTTTGAGTTGAATCTTGCTGTGATTATCCTGATCCTGCTGCTGGAGGAGATTGGTTCCCACTGTGTGAGCGAGAGCCTTCGATGCTGTTGGGAGGGGACATGATGATAGCCACTGGAAAAGTCAGTGTGCTGTGCTCGTGGTTATCGTCTGGGTGACAATATCGGAGTAGATTATTCACTCTCCTCCAGTTGACAGTTTGCAGAGTCCACTCCCATTCTACCTGCTTTCGCAAATTCCTAACACTTCAATGTGATACCTTCTCATCTGTTTTGCAATCTGGGTAGCCTTGTTAGGTTGAGACATGGTGCGGACATTCCGTGTTTCCATGTTTACTTTCGCTTTCATCGAGGGAGAGAAGACACATCGGCCCAGGCAATTGGCTTCCTGAAGACTTCCACCAACCGGCGTCATTTCGTCTCTCCGATTCCAGTGAGGAATCAGTTTGTTTTTATGTGTTATATTTTGTTTGTGCTTTGAAGTTTCTGTAGTGGTGTAATTGGTTTTCTGTGGTAGGGTTGCTAGCTGTATGCCGAAGCTTCCCTCTTTATCCGGGCTTAAGACGTGCTAGTAACTAGTGAACTAGTTAACCAGGCGAAGTTCAATGATGTCATCAGATATTCTTTTTTGTAGTGGGATTGTGCAGTTTGTTATTGTCATACTGTGCATCATCTCTGTCCCCCCCCACTCATAATGTGCCTCATCCCTCTCTTAAAGCCAAAAATTTGGTTTGGATACGTGGACGACACGTTTGTTATTCTCAAGGCGGATGAAATAGAGACACGTTCAAACTAGTCAACCAAGGAATTCGTTTTACAAAAGAGGAGGAATCCAGTGAAAAATGTCGATTCTTAGATGTCCACATCAGCAAAACACACAAAGGGATTTTAAAAACTCAAGTGTACCGGAAAACCACACACAGATCAAATATTAAACTTCAACAGCAATCATCCTACACTCCATAAAAATTATTGCGTACAAGCACTATTACCAAGTGCCAAAACATATTGCAGCACCAAAGTATTACAGAAAGCCGAAGAAATATACCTGTACAAAGTGTTCAAAGCCAATGATTATCCAACCAACTTTATCAAGAAGTGTTTCTCACCAGGACAGAAGACACGGCAGCTGCCTCAAATCAATAGGCACATTACACTACTCTACATCAAAGATATCTCAGAAACAGTTAGCCGATTGCTTCCACCTTTCGGAATCAGAGTAGCACACAAATTAAAGAAGTCACTACATTGTACGTTGGGTGAACAAAGAAGAAAGGACAATTATAATCTAAAAAAATTCTTCATAGCACTATGTTGGCCACTCTAGCAGTTGGGTTGCTCAAAGAATTCATGAACACCAACTAGAAGTAAAGTGACATGACGCGACCTCCTTGATTTCAGTGCATGCAGACAATCATGAACACTTATTCGACTGGGATAGAGTGGAAATCCTCCCAAGAGAAAGTTCGAAAGTAGCAGGAGAATTTCTAGAAGCATTTCACCCAAACGAAATATTAATCAGTAGATATGTGAATATAGACCCGATCCACAATCTACAGAGGAAGAAAACAGTCATCCACCAACCAAGGGTAAATTGACCGGACGAACAAATAGTGATGCACAGTGTGACAATAACAAACTGCAAAATCCCACTACAAAAAAGAGTATCTAATAACATGATTGAAGGAAATTTATGGTCAAAGAGGTCAGGGCATGATAAAAAGTTCTTCCCCAACTTACAATTGGACAACATCCAAGGCCAATAAAACGCAATCTAAACATTTGTGTAATATTTGGATATGGTTCAATTCTTAATGAAGTTAATGGTGAAGATGTCACTAAGTGTTGTGATGAAACGTTTGTGATAAAATATCAAAGGTCAGTGAACGTCAAACAACCAACAAAAGTTGGCTGAATTATCATTCTTTAATGAAATTTATACCTTATACAAAGAATTTATAAAAACTTTTATAATTTTGTGATGAAAATGATATTTCGATTTTCATGTGTTACTTTACTTGTTCCCATGTTTCACATACCACTTTCGAGTTAACACACATACACAAGGCAGGAGCCCATTCAAGACGTAAACTGCTTTCACATAGGAATTAAATTGCACATTCTCAAACAAAGTTTGTATGTAATTGGGATTGCAGAGGTTAATGAGTGAGACTGTTGGAAAGAGTCTCACTGTGCTGTCACTTGTCTTCATTTTCGATGAAATCATAGTGGAAGTTTTAGTGTATCATCTTACATCTATGTTTAACGAGATTGGTTGTCGTTCTGATGACATGGATGTGGTTTGGGAGAATATGATTGTGACAGGATGTGCCACCATTGTGTAACAATCAAAACCTTCACACCTTATTTCACCGTATGGAAGTAAAACGCTGAAATGAGGAAGTGGGATTGTACAGCTTGGTGAGTGAAATTCTTGAACGCTTCCTTATCAGCCTAGATAACTTCATCAGCATTTATTTCATGAAAAGTGAATCGTTCTCAAGTATGAAATCATTGTAGTAAGTAGGTTAAATATTTCATTTATCTATCATCACACTAAATCCACTCGTTAAGCGGTTCATATTGATACCTTGCATGACTGGATCAATTTCAATCTGCTCGTTCTTAGTCTGAAATGTGCTTTTGTTGAAAACAGACCAGTCAGTAGCACAAACTGTATTCTGTGATACAAAGGTGTCACTAACTATGCATATATTCCGGTTAAAATAATGAGTAATATCACAGTCATTTACTAAAAATTACCCTGATCAAGAATAAGATTTTACAGAGACAAAGCTTGCATATTCGTGTTAGTGGCCAGTAGAGGATTCTAAGAGGTGAGCTTCTTGCCATCTGCTGAATAAGTGGAATTATTTTCATCGATACTGGAAGCCAGTACTCGCCATTCCAGACTTCAGAGCGTTTCCCACTATGCCACCTGGCCACCGTTTGGAAGAAAAACGCTGCTAGAAGGAAGTCAGACTTGTAGATCAGGTGATAAAATATTGTAAAGTGTGATTGGTTGAAAGGGATTTGAATTGTGATAAATCACAGATTATAGTATAATAGGCAACATGTAATGTCATATGCACTGCATCTTATGCACTGGGAAAAATATTCCAGCCATATAATCTACAGTCTCCAACTATTGATTTCTACTGTCAATATATGTTCAACGGTGGTTGCTGATACATCTATCTCAATGTATGTGTACATAAAATTACTAAAATAGTTATTTTTTCATAGAAATCACTTTAATAAATGAAAACTTTGTCTGAATATAAATTATTTAGGATCAAGATTGTATGGCGAACAGTTCAGATGTAGTTGTACAATCAATTGGATTTAAATTCCATCGACATGGTTATGAGACCATTTTAAAATGGGCATTATACAATGAAGGTCCGTATGTTATTTCAATGAATATAGATGAGAATTTTCTATCCTACAAGTAAGTGAGTACACTGGTAAGAGGAGAGTTATATGATTATGAATTTGTATTATTTGACTTCTATGATTCAGTGATACATTCTATTGGTAGAGACTGTTTTAAGAAATACAGTGGAATGAATGAATTCATTGTCATATACTTTTTAAAAGTTTCTAAATATTCACAAATAAAATGAAAGCAAATTTAAAGTGTCAACATATGGAATAAAAGTCGAAAAGTAGACTTTAACGTTTTACCAGATGGTGTTTATTAACATTGTCATTAATTTGATGAACAAAGATAATAGTGACAGATGTATCATTTAGAATAATGGATAGAGGGGAAACTGACAGATAACAAGTTCGTTGCTCAAAACGGTGAGGCACTTAAAGAAAACACCGAAGGAAACATGTATGCAACTATGTATAGAGTTTCAGTGTTATTGCTTGTATTATACTGTCGTTGATTGGACAGAATTATTCAGTCTGTGTTGATATATGGGCTCCTGTGCAGATGCCTCGATATTGCCTGTCTTTTAACTACGTATAGTAATGATAGGCAGTAGCTAGCAGTGGAATCTAGGATGCACATTTCGTCCTATTTGGGACTCGTCAGCTGGATGTACCTGCCTCCCACTGAGTGACGTTATTCCCACCGGGATTCGGATTCTGGAGCAACCGCTTCAAACTCCTGAGACATATCCACTACGCTACCGAGCCACGACAGTCACTCCTTGTGCGACAGGTTTAGTTTTAGCAATAACACTAAAATTAACCTGCCGCACAAGAAGTGACTATCGTGGCTCGGTAGCGTAGTGGATATGTCTCAGGAGTTTGAAGCGGTCGCTCCGGAATCCGAATCCCAGTAGGAATAACGTCACTCAGTGGGAGGCAGGTACATCCAGCTGACGAGTCCCAAATCGGACGAAATGTGCATCCTAGATTCCACTGCTAGCCACTGCCAGTAATTACTATGTGTAGAGTTGTTAAAAATACTTAATAACTATCATAGCAGATTTCTGTATGCTTACACTGATTTTGTACTATTTGATCTTAATGGATCCAGCGAATAAAATCAGAATTCAATTTGTATTTTTTTTGTTGTTGATAATTTCAATTTTATCAAAGCAATCGACAGTATCACCTGAGTCGATTAGTCACTTCTAACCGTCTGATAGCTTCTTAGACCTTGGCTATTTGTAATACATCAAGAATATCAGAGAAAAAACAGTCTTGTTGCTAACTCAGTATAACTATTTTGATAACCTGAGTTAGATATTAGTCAGTTCTTCGATATTTCAACTTCAATGCTATAAAGTTGTAAGTAGTTTTATAGGCTGTATAAGTTTTAGCTGGAGCGAGTGTTGACTTTGAGAATAGCGATAAAAAATATAAAGTAAAGAAAACAACAAAGGTTCGTTCTTGTTCGTATAGTTCTTAACCATTTGTTAAGCTCTGAGTTTGTTGACGAAAAGATGGTTAGCTAGAAAGTCTAATAAAGGCATAGGATAAGTTAAGGTTTTATTGATTTATTCTTGGCTATCTATTGGTTAGGGAAAAAAAAATACATGAACTCAGTTAAGTTGATTCTATGTATTTTGGAAATATGTTTGATTTTTATAACTACCTTCAAGAGAAACTGAAGATAATTTTAGACTGTCTAGAAAAACTACCTTCACTTTAACCGGATTGCTCAGTTATTTTGCTGTTTGAGGAACTAAACTAGTTTTTTGACTTCAGTTAGGGTTTACATGTGATTCATTCAAGTTGATGTGCTTCTATGTTTATTCCCTATAAGGAAAATAGGACTTCGAGTCACATGTATTAGATTGGCATAGCAGGCTGTTTTATGAACTCAGATCAGTGATAGTGGTTGCAGCACTTAGTAGTTGGAAGAAGGAAAAACTAAGAGAAGTTGTAAGTCAGCTAAGAAGAGATGTGGAAGTTAGCGAGACCAGCTGAAGAGCTATTGGATAATGGAATTTGACTTATGTCAAGTTGACAAGTAAGTTAAAACAAGAGCTATTATTTTTAAGGAATTCCTAAACTTCCTGAAAGAGTATTCGTAATGTGATCGTCAGATGTTAGTTATCAAAACTTACGCCATAAGAAATAGAAGGCCGTAACTGCAATTTAGGACTTATGGATGGATGTTGGAAGTCTATACATAAGTAAGACTAATCATCAACTACACACAATACACTTACAGAAGCTTATGATTCCTAACAACCTCAATGATATGCTTTTCTTAGAAATGAAATAGGATATACCACATTTTAGGTTATAATGAATTAACACTTAGTCATTGAAAACATAACCTCATGAGTCACAAAATCAGAAACGTTACAATAATACTAACTCATAAATAAACAAGTCATTGTAATTCTGGTTAATACAAATGCAGAATTCAAGCAAACACCATGTGTTTGCACCCAACAGCCAAACGTTTTGCGTAAGCTAATGGATTTCTACCATTTACATACAGCAATCCGACGCGTACGTATCATTCATTATCTATTATCAACTTATAACTTCTTACAGTTGACCTTTGTAATTAGGATACAGATTGATGTAAAATATTTTCTTGTTGGCTGAATTTCAGATCTGGGATTTATCAATCTGAAACTTGTACACATTATAATTTAAATCAAAGTATGCTACTTGTTGGCTATGGTTATGATAATGATGGTGTCGACTACTGGATATTGCAGAATAGTTGGGGTAAACAGTGGGGTGAACAAGGTTACGTAAAAGTGCGCCGTAATAACTGGAATATGTGCGGAATTGCTTCAATGGCCTTTCGACCAATATTAAGAAGCTTTTAACAAAAACTTCCAGAGAATGTTTTGCATACTGTTTCTTTTTCTACTTAAATACAAATTTGAGTAGTTAAAAATCGACAATTTCATTTTTGAGTTTTCAGTGACGTTGCATTGAAAACAACCTACTACTAAAAAAATTCACTGGTTACTGCTGAAAAAGGAGGCCAAGTTTATGATCTGAGTTAAACATCATCCCAACTCTGATAAGAAATACATAGAATCCTTGAACTTACTAGAGTTTTCTAAGGTCTGGAATAAATATTCGAAACTTGATGAGGGGTTCTGTTAATAACCAGTTCTTCATCTGGGTATTATGAATTAGTTAGATGAGAATGAAATTGAAGAAAGAGAAGGTGTCTCAGTTTCTCAATTCACTGGGAATCCTTTCAGTAGCTTTTTTACTGTAACTGACAAAAACCACTTGCGTTCAGTCTGATTTAATAGTGATGTATACTATTCACTAGTTTTTCTTTATTTGACTAGTTTTGTGAGAAGGTCATAGTTTATTGCTAATTTATGCGATAAGATGATACACATTTGATTATCAGATCAGCTTACCGCTTATTTATGGCCCACACGAAGCACTCACTAATGATGTTGTACTACGTTCACCGTATGCTTGATACTATTACCTTAAATGCAAGTTCGCTTTGACTCGTGACATCATTGGTGAAATTCAGGCATGCGAACCACTAAACCATGATAGCAGTAAGTCTCTGATCATTCCTACATTCATTAAAAACACACATATTTTTCCCCTATCAAAACATTTCAAGGACAAATTTATTACATTTATGAGCAAATTATGCCTTATTTCTATTGCGATTTATGGAATTTTCGATATTCTTTCTTGTGAACTACGGTATTAAGTGGTTGATCTGTGCCACAGTTTAGCTTCCCTGAGAGATCTGACAAGTGCTAAACATTTGACTTGCTCCTTAGCTTTTGTTTTAAGAGCTGTAAACAAAAAGGTATCTTGTAAGGGATTACAGCGGAAAGAAAATACGGATCTGAGTTCTCCTGAGGTTCATAAAAAAACATTTTTGCCACTAATCTTAGAATCATATTCTCCTGTCAGGAACTCATACATTAGCACGCAAGGGGTAAGCCGGAGCACTGGGCCACATCATTGTGTGTATATCAGTTAACTTGCTTTTGTGGAACTAAATACATCGGCCGTGCCAGCTTATGCGACGCGCTCCAACTTGGCTGACAAAGGAAGAACAGAAATGTATCCTCAGTCGTGTGACGGAATACTTATTAAGCTCAGGACATTTGGCTCCTTTTGATAAGTCCTTCAAAATTTTGTACAAATCACGACCAAGCCAGTCGAACGAGGTGAGGTTAAGACGTCTGGCTAAGCTGAAGTACTAGCGATTCAAATGCTCAAACCATCTTTATGCTTTCAAAAGAAGCGTAGCTATGGATATTGTAAATTGTCGGTCACTTTAAATAACTCACATATGACGTAACTATTTTTATTCTGTAATCATTTTGTTTGTTTTCCCATTACGTAACGTTCCTTTGCGATGCAATTTACACAGGCCTTTCACTAGGAATTACTCTGGAATATTCTATCTTTTCCACATTATATTCACGAATGAACAGTTAAGAGAAGGATTTCATCGAAAGAAATCATTTCTCTTTGATGCAATTGCGTGTTCTCCTGATTTTGTTAAATTATCGTTGACTTACATAATTACAGCTGAGTTTGCAAATGAATTATGAATTTCACTTTTAATTCTCCAGTCACATAACGATACTCATTATCAAACACTGATCATACTAGAATCCTTTGTTTCGATGGTACAAAGATGATGCTAGAGTAAAATGATTGAATCGTTTGTTCGGTAGTGACAAAACTAGCACTTAGCATGCAGTCAACTTCTGTATCATATTACCCCTTTCTATTCCTTCCTAAAATTCCTTACTTTTATTACTTTTAGCTAGATTTGGTCCAGTGTAATTATTCAAAGGATGAGATGACGTCATGTCATCTTACGGAATTTTCGTCTGCTACGTAAAATCTGAATAGACAAGTCAATAAACTCTGCAATGACATACAATAACATGCCTTTTATGGAGAGTCCTATAATATCGGTTAGTGTTTTGGAAATCGGGAGAAATCTCTCAATTCACAATATAAAGCAGGTTAAAGGAGTAAACCTCAGTTAACTTGACACGCGTTACATGAGGCAGGCTGAGGAATGTTCTTGATAGCTTAAGATAATATCAGACAGAAGTTGAAGTAGTAAAGATGGGTAGTGAATAGCAGTGGAATCCAGGATGCGCATTTCGTCCGATTTGAGGCTCATCAGCTAGATGTGTGTTGTCAGATAGTTCGAAATGTTTTGCGCAAATACATTACATAAACAAAAAGGTATCTTGTAAGTGATTGCAACGATTAGAAAACATGGATCTGAATTCTCCTGAGGTCCATATAAAAACATTCCTTGCTGTCAATCTGTATAGTTTTAGTGTTATTGCTTAAACTATACCCGTCACACAAGAAGTGACTATCGTGGCTCGGTGGTGTAGTGGAAATGTCTCTGGAGTTTGAAGCGAGCGCTACGCAGTAAGAGTCCCGGTGGGGATAACACCACTCAGTGGTAGGCAAATACATCCAGCTGACGAGTCCCAAATCGGACGAGATGCAAATTCTAGATTCCATTGCTAGCCACCATCCATCTTTAATGTAAATAGAACACAAGTACATCAAGGCATCTGCACAGGAGCCCATATGCCAACAGAGACTGATCAATTCGGTCCTATCAACGACGGTATAATACGAGCAATAACACAAGAAGTTGAACTAATTAAGTATTCATGTGTAATTATTATCCTTATAAAATAACTTTGAACATGAGATCAATTATCGTAGTTACAAAAAGTGGGGTAAGGATAAAGCAAAAGTTAATACTGACACTGAATCATGATTGAAGGTGAAATGAAAATTTAGACCGCGGCCAACTGATGACCAGATTTTTATTTCACTTCAATCAGTGTGGGTTTTTCGCGGATACGTTCACCTTCAGTCATCACCCAGTATCAATGCTAGCCTTCCCAATTATGGCTGTCTCAGATATTTAAAATAATTAGTTCCCTTTATAAAATGCGACAAAACAATAAGAAGATGTAAATTGTCTGAACCGTGTAATATATTTGCGCAACACATTTCGAACTATCTGATCACACACATACTTGTCATAGCTTTAATATAAAAAATCATGAAGATAAAGGGTAAGAAAATGAAAAGAGGTCAAGTAGGAAGGCTGAATTAAAAGCCGAATAACAATGGAAATTAATCGGGCCAAAATAATAGAATATTAAACTTGGTTATCATAGTTGAATTTACCAAGGAAGATTTAATGTAATAACAAACTGTTTATGAACACACAAAGCTGGTTCGAACTTCCTAGTAGCTTCTTAATAGCCTCAACAAATTTAAGGAACCGTCTCCAACATGTTCTGTAAATAGGTTGTAAAGAAGTAGCCACATCAATCCTGTGACTTGTCTCGATGATGTGTTTCACGATTGAAGAACTTGGACATCTGCCACCAACGTTGATGTGTTCAGGGGACTCAATGTGTCTCTGAAGCCACTTTGGAATAAGTTCGGGGGCCCTGACTTGCATGAATCTATGAGTCATCCCTATGTATGTGTCACCACACGTACATTTGAATTGTTAGATGCAGTGGGATGTGACATTGTCGTTCACATGCTGTGAGGGTTTAGGGGAATATAGGGGTTTGGTGGCTTCCATTAATCGAGTCCTGTATGCATAGTAAGTCCTCTTAACAGCAGTGTTAAGTTTCTGCTTAAGGATTACACTATGAGAGTCACCTTTGTACGGAAGACTGATACAGCCATCCTTGTTTGGGACGAGCTGAAGATGTGGTTTCGGCGCTCGGATTATTTGTGCAGCCTAATAAATTTCGATGGATAGTTGTTTTCCAACAGTATTTCAGTCAGTGTTCCTCTTTCGTGTTTCAAAGTATCCTATGTGCATATTCGTTGAATTCTACTGAATGAGCACCTAACTAACGCCCCATTGTACTGAACTGGACAAAGACTATAATAGTTCAAATATTGTCCTTTCCATGTATGTTTTCTGTAGATAGATCGTTTTATGGATCCATCCTGCCTCCAACTAATTTATATATTCAATGATGGCAAACAGTCATCTTCCTCTTCTACGCATGTCAAGGATAAGCTGTTCTGTCCTTCGTTCATTCGGTTTAAAATTGACGTAGACTGATCTGAGTTGTCACAAATGACCAGGATATTATCAATGTGGCTTCGATATAGATGGGTTTGGTGTATTAGGTTCTCAGCTAAGTTTTAAATGTGTGACATAAATTTGTCAACTAAGAAGGGACCTGACCATCTCAGACAATGAGAATGAAAATGTTTAATATGAATGTGAGGGAGGATCAGCATGAAACAAAAATATTAAAATATTTAAAAAAGATAAGAGTCCAATTTGAACCAGATCCTCCGTTCAGCAAAAGTTTCATGAAGTTGACATAGGTAAGAACTTGTTTGTCTTCTCCATAGAATTAAGGAATTTGGTGTACCGACATGGTTCAGTGAATCAAATAGTTGACTCGATGTTGCATTATTCAATGCATTAGAGACGTAGACTTTCAGCCACATTTCGAATAATGTCAGTAGTTAGTAGTCTATCTCTTTGTTTTAGGTAGTTGTTTCGACTTGTAAATGTGAACTGAAAAATACGCATAGAGCTAAAGAAAATCCCAAACTGGTCTGTTCTGAAATGTGTAGCTGAGCAAAATATCTGATGCAACAGCTCAAGCTTAAGTGCTTGATAATTCTCAGCCTTTTGATCCTCTCTGCAACACCAGATTTAGTATCGGTGGGTTTGGTTTGTAAAATCTCAACTAATTTTATAAATGCAACAAGTGATCTGAAGTAAGAGGGCTGATTTTATTATGATGCAACAGATTTACGAAACACATTTTTAATGATGTGGTTGCATATCTGAGAACCATATCCCAGGGGACACTGTTTTCAGATTTAAACTCTTATATTCCTCACTTTTCCTGGGTTTTGTAGTACTTCCAC